TGTGTTTTGTCAGGGCTCCATTTAAATTAGCTCTGCTAAATTGGATGCCCCTGGATAAATATTGAATTAAAAAAAAAAAAATCGCCTCTTTCCGTTACGCCGTTTTACCTATGCCATGTTTATAAAGAAATGAAAGGTCTGCGAGGGCGTAAAACATCCGCCATATTGTTTATTCACGAGAGAAACTCGCACCCTCACAGACCTCACAAGTTACGTTGCACAACTGGCGCTTTATGAGCCAAAAAGCGAGGCGAACACGGCATTTCGCGCGTGTTTGTCTCGCTTGGCTCATAAGACGCCTCTAATGCAGGCTAAACCTATATGTAGGGGGACTGTACGGCCATGGATAATACAAAGACTTCTATTATCCATGGTGCGGCTCAGTCACGGTCGATTCCGGTTGATTGATTAAACCACACGAGAAACGAAAGCTAAAACCAACGTGAATATCACATCAGAAACACTGCGATGTTTTTATTCTCGAGTTTTAGTGAAATTCAAAATTTTTGGAAACCTGAAAATTTCTTTAGCCTATTTCTGTTTTGTGTGGGTTATATATTGAACTGATCCTACACGCTTTTTTCGGATGAAGCCAACTTAACGCACACACTCCAACTGGTCACAAAAAGGTAGACAAAACATTGATTAAAATTTATTTGGTAGTTACTTCTTCAGCAACTACCAACATAGTCCAGGGTCAGTCCATGGACAGGCAATGAATACAGTAGGGAGTTTAAGATGCCAACGACGGCGACGACAAGGAGAACGTCAAAAAAGCAACAGGTTGAATAGGCAAAACAGCAACTCTGCACGTGCATCACAATTCATTTCCTTGCCTTCACTGCACGACTAAATGCCTAATTTCACGATTTATGGAGGACGCAAACAAGCGACGGCTAAATTTTCTTTCTTTTTCTGAACTTGAACATGGTCATTTCTTATGGATTCAGCTCAAATAGAGTTTGCTTGCATTTAACAATGAGTTGGAGTAATCGCGATGGAGATTGTAAGAGCGCAAATTCACTTTTAAGGGACGTTTTCGTGGCCGTTGCCGTCTTGATATTTCAGTAAACTCTCCGATGCGTTCACCGCAGTGAAGCATGGAACTTGACGATTCCATATACTGTAATGACCTTACCCACAACAAACTTTGAAACAACTGGGTTTAGGTCGATCTTTTATCATGTTTTTGGATTATAGCCTAATATACACGAATTACACTTAAGTCTAAAAATTTTAAATGTTTTAAATCCTATGATCCGGCCTACCTTTTTAAAAAGAATAAAATTTCTATACAAAGCGATAACTGCAAAGAAACCGAAGTGGCTAGCAACGGGGCGCATACTTTTTTTTCTTTGTCTAATTATTTTTCTTCTAACTCGATTCGATCCTTCGATACGACTACTGTTGAATGATTGTCTTCATTAGAGGATAGATTGAAGAGTCGGTGTAAATGCAATACTACCTTGAAGACCTTGAACCATGGAATCAACTCAATGGTTTATATTCTTCTCAGTTTTCGTCTGTCTGACACGGTCCAAAACTTGTCAAATTTATACGAAACATGTGACCGTGAAAAGGTTGAAATCGTGAGCCTACCGGGTAAGGCGCTCCCTTTCCCCTCGCATGTCTCCCTGTCGTGCGCCCGTTCTTTTTTGCGCCTACTATGTACTTCCAAGCGCCTGCTACGGAGGCTAGGAAAGTCCTCAATAGAGTTCTTCAATGCTGTAATCCCGATCCAAAATTTCGTGCAGTCCCGTAATTCCGAGGGTTATTTTTGTCAGAAACACTGTGAAGGCAAAACCACAACGACAAACCAGTGAGGGTCTGCCGGATCTTTAGTAGACCTGGATCAGTAAAATCTTGAGTACAAAGTTATAAAACTTAAACCAGTAAACTGATCCTCACGCGTACTTTCAATCCCGAATCTTGCCCGATTTGGCTCTATAATCCCGAATCCCGAGCGTCAAATAAGGGAAATCCCGCATCCCGAGAAACCTATTGGAGACCCTCAAATTGAGCAAGGGAAACAAATCGAAACAAGGGAAACGTTCTCAAGACCCTTAAACCTCTGGGCCCAGTTGTTCGAAGACCGATTAGCACTTAACCCGGGGTTAAATTTAACCCTGATTTCTTTTTCTTGTGTTCAAAAGCATTTTCTCGGATAATTTTCTCCGTTATTTTTAGAGCTTCCAGTCATCAACTTGTAGACAAAAAGAATTAAAACTGAAATGCCTTTAACTGTCGCACTAACCCTGGGTTATCTTAACCCACCTTCGAACAACTCGGCCCTGGTGTCGATCCAGCTAAATCAAGATCTTCAGTGAGATTGCATTCACAGTAACGTATTTGAGCGACCACGCCTTAAATGAAAATCGTGCATTGACAATACAAAGTAATAATAAACTTGTGATACGTAAGGCACACACACACCTCTTCCACCCGTTAACCCATAAAAAGAACCCGTCATGTAATTTCATCTTCTAAAGCGCCCCATGTTCTCACGAGTGCTTAAATTAAATTCCATTCTTTCAAGAATTTTCCGCGATGACCTTTGTTTCAAACTAAAAAGCGATTTTGGACTTGAATCGAAGCTTACTGAGTAAAGAGCCTTTCTTTGTTGGTTTCTCCCAAAATCACACGCACTATCTTTTGAAGATGCGACGCATTTTTGTGCATTGACAAGCCTAGCTAAAGTCGTCGTTTTCCTTGTTCGGCATACGCGAATTGGAAGTAAATGCTCCCCAACGCGTACACACAATCTTTCATAAATCAATATACCTTACCGGGAAAGAACTGGTTCCAAAAGAGACCAGAATGCAAATGAGACAAGATTGAATAATCTGCAAGGACAGGAGGTAAGTGTTTATGTTCTCCTGAGTCTCTATCCAACCTTCGCGCCTCTTCTGAAAAACAGAAAGGCCAGGTAGCAAGGTCTAAAGGACGTTGACTTGGTGGTGTTTTATTTGCGCGCATCTCTACGCTGTAGGAGGAGGACACGTGAGAAGCGTAGACAACAAAAGGACATATGCGGTTGTTTATTGAGGTATAGTGAGGAAGATTGTTGTTAGTTCATATCTGTTTGTTAGTGGTTAGTTTTGAGAAGGTAAAAGGACTTTCTTTGTGCTCAATGTCTTCTGTCTTGCCACTGTACGATTAGCCAGACCTGATACTCGGATTCAGTAAACGTGCGAAGAAATTGTTTGGGTGATTCACCAGGATGCTGCATGTCTTCCGTGCCCGAAGCAATCGAAAACGAGATAAACCCATGGGAAATCGAGTTTTACTCTCTTTAAAGATATAATGAGGTCTTAAATAAAGAGAGTTCGAAAACGCGAACTGTAAGAAATGATCCCCAAAGTGAAGTTATGGGAGAAAACTAGTAAAAGTAGTAATACTGTACAGTTGTAAAATTGCTTGACAATGTGTAAATCCCACACCCAAATGCAATGAGGTGGGTTGTGCTTCGCTGGCAAAGAACAAATTTGGAAACAGGAATCTATACTAAACTGTGAAGCCTTTTGCTCTGCCTTCTTTAGGAGCTTAATCCATAGCCAAAAGAATTAACTATGAATTATTTGTTGTGTGGTGATTTTTCAATAAAACAGGTTTCTGTCAGTTTCTGTCACCAATTTTTAGTTTACAAAAAGCAAGAGAACTTAACAACCATATTCTCGTGAACTCATATTACCTTTTCAAAACATAGTTTCGCAATGAATTTTACAAAATAAGATTCCCCTGTGTACACTTTACAGTTGAGTTACAACACTATTTACAACCGTTTTGTTTTTCACTTGCTAAGAACTAATTGTTTTTACCTATTTTAAAAACTCTGCAATTAAAAATTTCCTCTGTCATTAACTTACACATATGATGAGGTAACTAGAGATTTCTACGAAAAAAGTAGTCCCGAGTGTATTTCGATATTCCAAGAAATCGTTCTAAATACATATCGGTACATATGGAGAATCCACTTCTGTAGCTCCTCCTCGACTTCATTTTATGAGGTAGTGGAAAAGAAAATAGTTTGAATCAAGAAAGACAGTCGTAGAGAGCACCTCTTGACGTAGGTACAGTCTTCAGCCGTGGGTCTCTCGATGGGGTGTCCCTACTCTTGACACTACAATGAAGGAATTCGGCAACCAAATGAGCAGATGAATCTGAAACAGAAATAACACAAAATAGTGAAGATTTGCAATAAGGTGGAGTCTCGTTTTGTCGAAGCAAAACTCGTTTTCCATCCTCAGCCAGAGGATTGTTACTTTCCATAGTTTTTTGGTGCTAAACATATTAAGGTTATTTCCGTTTCCCTCAATTTGGGGGAAGCTAGGAATACGTAACCATTAAGATTGAAAGTTAGAAAGGTGACAATCATTTGCTAATTATTGGTTTTTAGTCACGCAGAAATTCAGCGCAGCGCGTCAGCACAAAATTCCCACCTTTTTTTCCACTGGAAGATGACCTTCTACCCCTAACCGTGCTAATCAGATTTTATGGGCTATACTGAATACCAACAAGTAATCAGAGACCAGAGCGAGGGTCTTACCAGCAAAATTTAAAAAAAAAATAGAGATTTCATCACTTATCGTTGATATTACTAATAATCATATTTTAGGGTCCGAGGTATTTGTGACTGTTTACCTAGAGGAGGTCGAAACTTCGTGACTTTTGATTTCTTTACATGACAAAGAAAGTTTTATAATCAAAAGAACTGGCGTGTGTGTTTTAATGACTGCAAAAACGATTTCACCGAATATAAATAGTCGTAAGACCGTTCTATTACAACTTGAATCCAGCTGAGTGATAGAGAAACTGAAATGTTCTTTCGTTCACTTTACGAAAATGATACTTGTTTTTTCAACAGTATTTGAGAATGTTGCATAAAACTTCAACAAGCTCTAAAAAGGTGAAATATTTAGAATAATCCTTCAAACATTTTTTACCTATTACTAGAGGACGATGCCACTGTTTTGTTTTGTTTTGTTTTGTTTTTTTTTTACTCACTTTGAAGAGCGCAATCCTATGGGATGCGAATCATTCTGCAAAAAAAAAAGAAGAGGAACATTTGGAACACGTCTTTTGGATTTGAAGTTAAGAAAAACTGTACTTCAAAACAACTTAATTTTAGGCTAAAAGGGATTTTCTAGGCTCAGCTCTAACCCGGGGTTGGTTGGAGGAAGTATTACTCCTCCTTATTTTCTTCCTCTCCCTGACTAATTCGCGCCACACAGCACTGAACTGAACGCGTGGAACATGCTAGAAATGGCTAAAGAATTTAGACGGTGAGAGGGAATACCATAACCTGTGGCGTTTTGGTGAACGCGAGAAGCCTTAAACTGCGGGTCTCAAGGAGAAAGTGGCTCTTCTCATTCTCCTCAGTTTCATTGGACCTCCGTGAAGGATGTATTGCCCGATTGATTTAAGTGTTAAATTTCAGTTATATATATCTAATTCCTACCTGCGTTGTATCGGCAGCCTTAAAACCGTATTTAGAAAGCAAATCGCGCGACAGCGCTTCATCTCTGGTGTGTTTGATAACAAACCAGTCAGCTAGACCATCCCCCGGATTTTCCATACCAGACCGCTGTAAGTGCTGATCCCGAAACCTTTGGTAACCTGGGTTTTGCGCGTGTCGTTCGTGTGATACAGACAGGCGGTCTCTGTTTGTTCTTTTAAAGGCAAAAACAAAGAAAAAGAAAGAAATTCAAATTCGAGAATGACATGACACTGTTTTCTTGACACTGGCGACTTGGGAAAAAAAAGTCGACAGCTCGATCTCCTACCTGGGGTCAAATCTAAGACCTTCAGAATAAAGCGGATTGACTACTTATACCCTTCAAAATTTGTTTCACAATAAACAGCTGAAGAATTTAGAAGTTGATTTTTTCAAATTTCATTAAAGAAATATGCCTTTTTTATGAAAAGGAAGAGAGAGCTAAGGAGGGTGCCATCATTTGCCCATACCCATTTTGACGCCAGTCTTCCCAGCACTAAGTCTCATTTGCGGACAAAATTCTTTGGACTTGTGCTAACTGCGCCTGAGTGCTTCTTTCACCTTAAATGCTCCAGGAATTTCTTGTTGAGAGATCTCGTAAGTTTACAATCCCAAAACAAGAATTGGTGGTGTACGTAATTTGGTGTCTGACGTATTGTAAACACACAAGGGCTATAGATGTTTGCTTCGACTTCCTTCTCTTTACACTGGAACAGTTTCACTTTAGGTCACTTTGCAGGGGTATTATATCCTGTTGTTTAAGACATTCTTTTGCCATTTCACTAAACAAGTACCTTGATGACTAACAAAAGAATAAAAACTCCGTCTTGCTTTAAAGATAGAGAGGTACTGTTAAAAAGTTTGTCTCTTCATTACGGGTGTTGAGACAAAATACTAAATATTGAGTATTTTTAGCCATGGATCGCTTTTATTGCAGTGTGTGAAAAAAGTATGCAAAAAAACTCCTCTATAATGTGTCAGAGACAGCATTTAGGTTCTGTATCTTTCGAGCAATTTAAAACACTACAGCCCTCAATTGTCCAGATTGGTCTCTCAGTCTCCGTGGATAAAAGCGCCTGAACGGTTGACTTACCGGCAAATTCCACATTTTTCACAATGACACGGTTTCTTGTCCCCACTGGTAAAATGTTTACAGATGGCACAGATACAAGCAGACATGTTTTCCTTACACTTAAGAAACTTGGCACTGACTTCGCCAATCTGGGAATATAACAGGCACGAAAAATAATACAAATTGGGAGAGCTGAAGACCAGCCCTGGATAGCAGACTCGACTTATATGTCGAGTTATAAGAATATTTAGATTGAAGCGATTGATTTTTTTAAATTGATTTTCCATTGACTTCGTTGTTGTCGCGCGTTTCTTCGTACAATTTGCTCTGAAACTATCGTTACCGGCTTACTGTAGGTATTGTGTTGGGATGTGGGTAACGGTCTACGTTCAGTTTGGTGACTGCTGCAAGCAGGAAACAGCATTGACCCAAAAGAACCGTAAACGTGTAAGCTTTGTTGAATTTAATCAAGTAATTTATCACCGGCAGTCGTTCTGAAAGGATCAAAACCGTAGTGTTGTTTGGATGATTTTTGCAGTATCCGTTAAGCTTGTATTCAAGGAAATATAAGAGAAAACGCCAATTAAGTAGTTTGTGAATTGAAAGTTTCCTTTGAATAGTTAATTATTGCTTTTTAAAGCCAATTCTGTGCTTAAGTCATTACTTGATAGTGTCACGAATTTTGACGAATTTTGAAGGCATGATCAACTAAAGTTGGCCCAACTTTTTCAAGTTTTTACCAAATCCATCCCTGTCATCCTTTGCTATGTATACGGGAAACAGTTTAATACCTATATAAAGTATTAACTTGTTTTGTTAATCATTAACCGAGATTTACAGATCGAAAATTTTAACCGACAGCCGACAAAGTATTAAGTCACTCTTCGCCTTTAATTTTGCAAGGTTTCACAGAATGTAACTGAGTACGTGACCAAAAACACTGAGGCTCAAATATCAAGAGTAGTAAATAAGTTTCCTCTATGACGTCATTGAGTATCCAGAAATTGATATGGCCCGGACTGTTGTGATTTTAAAATATTTATTGATGAATCAGCATAAGCACTCAGGGTAGAAACATTGCACTTAATAACCACATACGGACTGAAATTTTGTTGTTTGTTCTTGAAGATCAGAACCTAATAAATAGTGATATTACATGATAAGAGTAGATACATAGACACACACCTGACTTTAAAAGCTGTGATTAGAGCATCAGACAAACACCAATATACAAACTATCAATATACACCAAACACCAATATACAAACATCAATATACAAACTAAATCAGTAAAAATTTGAAACCCTCGCAATTAATATAACGTGAAACATCAAGACTCATCTCCTGGCGACGATAGACAGCGGAGTGGTAGATAGGTTGGTCTATATAAAGGGTCTATACTCTATAGGGGGCGGGAATCTCGCCGATGCACTAAAAAGGGCGTCTTTAGCTAAGATAAACGTAAAATTTCGTGGAAGTACCGACTGCAAGGTCCGTGCATGGGCAATAAGGTAGCTTGCATGCGTCTGATATACCTTTTTGAACTCAAAACCTTTTACAACATCATCGACTCATGTCCCATTGATGCGACTCAATGATTTTGTGGGAAACTTCTCAGTATTCCTTTTCCGAGTCTTCAGTTTTAGAGCCGTTTTATACTTACCCGATCACAAAGCATATACCTCGACTGTCTACAGGCCCCACGGCAGCATTTCATCCTTGGGTATCATACTAAAGAAACTGGCCGCTGGTTTTGCAAATGTCTGTACCGGTCAGAGAATGATTTGCAATGTCGAGAAAATGGGAAGCTTTTATTTATATAAAGTACTTAGCTGAATTGAAGCGTAAAAAGTGGTGAAGTGCAAAACGTGTTGGCCTTGTTGGAATGCAAACTCGTCCCCATAGCTTTTCCCTCCCATTTTTATGACAATCAAGCCACGCATTTAAGAAAGCATTAGATACACATGTACAACCAGCTAAAAATACTCTTTAATACCTTGATTAATATAGGCAATAAAAAACGAACTAAGTCATTAAATTATTAACTGTCATTGAATTAATAAATTTATATCAGTTTGTCAACTTGTTCACCATGGAGACTAGTTACAAAATGTTATACCCGTTTATTACGATGATCACACATGTACGGACGGAATCTATAAAATGCATTTATTAAGTTTGCACGCATTTATAGACATTTAGCCTTACCATTAAATGGAAAAAGACCGTTTTACTCGGTTTTTAATAGTCGCGTTTTTATTTCAATCAACCCACGCATTTAAGAAAGCATTAGATACACACGTATAATCAGCTAAAAATACTCTTTGATATTTTGATTAACATGTAAAGTCAAGTGAGCTTACAAAGACAGGACGGACGTGTGTTCAGTGCTCCGTAAAGTTTTTCTTCCTTCTTAAATCGTATGTTTAATTATTCTTTTGGCTTTCGTTTATATGTTTCGTTTATATGTCTCGTGTTATCTTATACTATACCTGAGTCTATTGCTAACATAAAAAGAGAGTCAGAACAACCGATTCAAATCTCAAGTTATTTAATAAATTAGGTTAGCCTCTCTTCGTAATCGTTAGGTACTTGCCTTGTTTTATGTTAGTTTATTGTATCGTAGTGTCTTCACTGTTATTAGTCCATCCATAGATAATCCTTGTACTTGTAACAGGTCTTCAGCTCCCCCCGCCTCGATTAATTCATAAGCTATTTGCGGGTGGGAAAGTAATGTAATTAGTTATATAACAAGATAAAACATACTTTGACTGTCTACAGGTCCCACGGCTGCTTTTCCTTCTCGGCTATGATACTAAAGAAACTGGCCGCTGGCTTTGCAATGTTTCTACCGGTCAGAGAATGATTTGCAATGCCGCGTAAATGGAAAGCGTGAATGGTAGTTAAGTACCTAACACCCTTTACGTTGTTGGAATGCTAGAGCACATCTTGAGCACACAGAAAATACAATCATTTACTTAGCATTTCCATACACTTACGAGACTGTATATACTCTGTTAATAATAATCATAATTGTTATTATTGTCATATTAATAATGATGATGATAATTAATATTTTGTTTGACAATTCTGTGTGGAACAATTAACCTAACAGCACAGCATGCGCACTAAATGAAGAATTTCAAATAACAAGTAAAAGAATAGAAAAAATGTTAGGCTCATTGATAAAAGGCTTCTATAAATAGGTTTGTTTTTAGTGCTCGCTTGCTTACGTAAAGAATGTTCCCATTGCAAATTAACATTTTTCCATATAAATTTCCATATCAATTTATTTTTGTCAATGTCAAACGTAAATAGTAACTTGTAAAATCTGTCCTTTGACCTTGTGTTCTCAAACTTATTAATTATTCATGAGGGCAGAAGCCAATAAGTGAGGCATATTTGGGTCACATGATACCTTAATGAACACCCATACGAAAATCTTACGGGTTTTGATCTCAAATTAAACACTTGCATGTTAATGAATATTTTTCAATAATTAATACATCGTTAACAACAATTCCAAAAACTTACCTGAATATTATTTGATATAATTAACCTTGATAGCGTTGGATGCAACAAATTATTCCATAAACGGTCTTCAGTGGATATCTCTCCCCCGACTTCTTGGCTACCTCCATCACAAACTTGCTAAGCCGGTAATTTAAGGTTACTGCATCCATTTCTTCAATGCTGGTAGAAAGTTGTGCGACCTTGTGTAAATCATAGCCTTTAAATAGCCCTCCTGGATCTAAAACGGGAGCTGTGACCGACAGAGAAATTTGCCATTCGCCAAAAATTGTTACCGCCCATTTGTTCTTATATTTGGTTGACGAGGGAATAGCTTTTTCGACTAACTCGCGTTCTTCTTAAACCGTTGTCGGCTCCCTAAATCTTGCCTCTCCATGTTCACACATGGTCAGAAGTAATGTTACGTATATGGCAAGATTGCATCGCTGCATGAATTATTGTTCTTTCATTTGGGGCGGACAATACAAAAAAAATGTATCACAGCATAATTTTTTTATTGCTTCGTTTGAGAAGTCATCTCAAAAACTCGTGCTTCAGGTTTCATCAAGGGTTCCAAACACCTCAAAACAATAAATTCAGAAGCACTGGGCCTGTGGCTTCGTGCTTTCATCTGTTTTTCGGTGTTTGGAATCCCTCAAACCCTCGCACTCGTTTTTGATAATTTATATTACTTGAACATTTAGCTAATCAATTAGTACTGATGGAAACCACTATATTGACTACGGTGGTCATACTGGCTTGCATAAATTCCATAGTCTTCACCGTCACAATAATATGGCCCTTTTGAGTAGACACTCAGCGAACACACGCTTAGAGCGAAACCCCGTTTTATACGGATCGACACTACTTTAATACCAATGTCCGTATAAACGGGGTTTTACTGCTTAGACTTTCAAGATCTGGCGTGGGGGGTGGGGGGGAGGGGTCTCGACCCACAACTGTCGTGCCCTCTCAATTTCAAATTCGTTCCTACGGGCTTGCGAACAGCCAAAAGTGTTGCCTACAGCAGACTTTTGGTTCTAGAATGACCCATGCATTTTTAGTTCGATCGATCTGTTTTTAATTAACAAGACGTGATAACCTACTGCTTATTTTTGCTTCCAAATTTCTGTTAACGAGCTTTTATGGCTTAAACAGTTTACAGGCCCGGGTTTAAAGGCAGCTAAGCCACTGTTCTGACTCGTGATCTGAGAAGCTTTCGCCTCTTTCACACTTTTTGGGATCATTTCGCCATCATTAAGAACCAGCACAAAAACACTGCAGATATGATGACAAATGTAGCAACTAACTTGAGACAACTAACTTGGGTCACATAGCTCAGACAGCTCCGGAACTTGGGGTTTGTCCAGATTTTTAAGTCAAACTTTTTCCTCAAAACCTGTCGCTTTCACTATGTTTTGGCATTTTTATTTTTGCCATTCTCGATCTAATGACAGCGACACTCAACAAAGTTAACGCTCATGCTATGTTGAAATGGGTCATTCAACATATCGAACGTGAGTTCAACGCGCTTGGACGAAAAAAAATGTGAGTACTGATCCATCCGTTCAACAAGTTGCACCTTGGTGAGATCTGCAACATTTTTAATATTTTTAAAGGTGTTGCACCTTGTGAGATT